TCAATAGAATTTCATGCACTGATAATTGAAAATCGTCGATGCTTCCACCTACAAGATGATCTACAATGTCTTCCATGACATCAAGTTCACAATAGAACAGGAGTAAACAAAAACTGTCATTTTTGATGCATTAACAACCACAACCGACACAGGAAAACTGAAATACAGGAAAGACAGGAAACTTTATACTTCAAAGATCCGTTGATACAGGAAAGATTCGAGGCTTTTATCTAGTTTCAGATGTCCTTGGATTTCTGAAAAGTTCTGGAGGGCTCATGAACATAGCAGCAGCATAAGTAATCATTCAATCACAAATGCGTATGTGACCTGTCAATTTGTTGATGATTTGCTAGAATTCTGAAAAACCTTCCAGTAGACGCTCATTAGATAAGATGATTCTCAATGTTTTCAGAGCCTTTCTTTTTGGCGTTCTACGAAGAGTTTTGTGGATCTGCTCAACAAAATACCACAGTGCAAATAACATTTTGAATGGGTTTGACTATTAAAATTTCAAATTCATGAGGAATTAAAGTCTATACATACTACTTTCAAATTCACATTGACTGCTATTGTTTTTTGTTTCATGCAGATACATACTTGAACATGAAAACTTCATCCAAAAGCTCGTCTTTGACAGAAAATAACAGTGAGTACTTCATATCCATATTGAGAATAAAGTTTTATCAATCAATATTTAAGTAAGGATTTGTGAAAGTCAATTTTGGCCAATAACTGTTAAAGCTTACTTCAATGCTGTGTGAAATCATCCAGCAAAATTCACTTGTATATTCCCATTGTTATTCAAGACTTCAGTCCTTTATTCGTATGTGTGCATACTGTGCGTATTGCCTTAATTTACAACCTTCATAAGCAAAGATGGATAGTGGCAAATAGTACAATCCGGTTCGACGCTCGTTTCGTCCTATTTGGGACTCATCTGTTGAATGTACCTGTATTCATTTAATAACGTAATCAGAAATCTTGAAGTATTTGTGAAAATGCCTACTACTACTACTACTACTACTACTAAGCACATAATATCGAAAACTGCATTATTAATTACCAGTTAATGCCCTCGGCTGAATAGTCATTTCGTGCGAGAAATTGCCATTTGTATAAACTAAAATACATCTTGTAGTCTAAAAGATTATTGCAAACCATAAGTTGTGACTCAATTTCGTGGATAAATTAAAGTTAAACATTAACATCGTTGGATATCAGCTCAATAATCTAGAGTTTAGGCGTTTCCGCGCCAGACAAATAGGTCTTGGTTTCCAATCCCGCGGTATGAGATCGTGGATGTGTACAAAATAAAACACAAATCACTTATGTATTGAAATGTGAATCATCATGATGAAAACATTAGATTATTTGCATTAATAATTGGATTTCATTTTTATTCTATTAAAGGGAAATCACTTGATGAAAGAAAATCAACTCTGCAACAAATTGAAAAACAATATAAAGAGTCTAAATGTAGGTTTAATAGAGTCTCCAATAAGTAAACCTTTAAAATAAAAGATTGTTGACTTATAATCTAGTTTGTATAGTGAATTCTGTAAGCTGAGATATACGATTGTTCATTAAGTGATCTCATTCTTGATGGTAAATGGTACTATTTGGTAAGTGGCTATAAGAGCTACTGGATCATTATCTTAAAAATGTGAGTATTCCAAAGACCTGTTATTACATCATTCTCAAATTCAACACAGAGAACACCAACCTAATCACACTTGATGGCGAAACTTAAGAAGAAGTGTAATCCTTCACGTAGCTGGGTAGTATCATCAATGAACAAGGAAGATCTGATTCAGACGTGAATGTAAGCATTGGCAAAGCAATGACAGCATTCCTACAGTTGAAGAACATATAGAACTCAAAACAGCCATCAACCAATATCAAAGACAGAATCTTCAATACAAATATCAGGATGGTCCTACTGTACGGAGCTGAAACCTGGAGGACTACTACAACCATCATCAATAACATGCATTAGAACTTGATAATTGTTTCGTGAATATAAGTATGTGCTGGATAGCACTATTAATATATGTTATGTAATATTCATGGGGAGAAATATCTCATGATAGAGACAGTTATATCAGTATTACGCGTAGTAAAACTTAAACAAGGTCTTTAAATAAAACAGTATTCTGTGTTATGATCTTTATAGTTGTCTTATCTTGATCTTTTTTTCCAACTTAAGTACGCGTTAAAAGCACATTTAAGGAAGTGATTGAAACAGGACTTGCCTTTAGAAATGTCTGCGGTGAGTTTCACAGTCAGTTATACATATACATATATCTTTCAGTGAATACATTAATTACTAACAATGTAGCGAATTAACATGAAATAATATTTCCTAGTCAGTGGTTTACTTTTTTAAACGACAAAGTCTTACGACTATTACCCCTCGTGGAGGAGAATAGGCAGCTCATCTGCGCTCTCCATTCAACTCTATCCTGGACAATCCTTTCCATGTGTTATTCATCCTTTTCATATATGCTTCTATTCTCCAACCCGATGTTATATTTAGCCCTCTTCTTTTCCGTTTCTCTTCAAGATTCCAAGTTAGGGCTTGCCTTGCGACGCAGTTTGATGATATCTGTAATGTATGTTCTATCCACTTCCAACGAATTTTCGTAAAAAGATGCTAACCACAATGAACAAGTTAAACACACCAATTTCGGTGAATATAAATATAGATTACTATTTTTATTCAAAACAACTGTGATCTAATATCAAAGTGAGAATCTTCAATACGAACGTGAAGACAGTTCTAGTGTACGGAGCTGAAACGTGGAGAACTATCACAACGATCATCAAAAAAGCATAAGTGTTTGTAAACTATTTTCACCGTAAGACACTGAATGTTCGTTTCCCAGATACCATCAGCAATAGCCTACTATGAGAGAGAACAAAACAGGAAAATACGATGTAGGTGTTGGTGACACATACATTTGAGAAACTGTCAAACTGTATCACGAGGCATATCCTAACTTAAAGTCTTGAGAGGAAACGGAAAAGAGGAAGGTCAAAGAACTCATTTCGTTTGGAAATAGAAGCAGATGTGAAAAGGATGAATAACAACTGGAAAGAAACTGGAAACGATTATCCAGTACAGAGTTAAATGGCGAGTGCTGATGGGCGGCCTATTCTCTTTCACGAGGAGTAACAGGCGTAAGTAGTAGTAAGTAAGTAGATAATTGTCCTTCCAGAATTCTAAGTCCTTCTAACCGCCTAATGACAGCTTATAGTTTTTGTAAATACACATCATTTAAGCGAATGAAAATTTAGCATTACTGACCTCAATATCGATCTTTCATTTATATTTACTGATAATACGTCGTTTTCTTTAATACAAAAATAGACGCTGTTAAAAAGGATTTACCGAAATTGAACCCACAACGTGAGATTTATGTGGCATATTAATTAATTTCCGATACATATTCATTCATGTGAACGTATTGCACAATTTAATAACCGAATAATTCGCTATTTTAATGCACATTCAATCAAATTATCATTTCCTTGATTCTCCTCTTTTAATAGTATGTAATCTAGTAACTATAATATTGAGGGAAATGATGTTCCCTGACGAATTCGATCCCGTGTCTCTCAGCTCCACAGTCAGAGACGTTACCACTGAACTATCCGACTCGGATAGGAAATCATTTTATAGTATGATGTAAGATATATGCTGTATGATTTGTGTGCAGAAATCTTTGCTAGTATTCTTAGTGTTATTGAATCCCAACCACAATCTTCAAAGCTGAACATGAGATAACTGGGAAAACAGACTTTCAACATGTAACAGTAAAAGTACGTCAATAATGGTGGACGCCGTAACATTGATTCGAAATTTAACTCATCGAATAGCATGGCTCGGCCTTGCAGGCATTTTCATTCTTTTGTAACTTATCCATTTTATTCATATTAAATATATTACTTTATCTCCAGCCTAAATGTGTTCTTCATCATATATCCATGATAAGTCTGTTAGAATTTTGTTTGGTTAGATCGCATTTCAGCAACTGGCGGAGGTTTACACTTTATAAATCAATTCCATCATTTGAAATAAATAATATTTTCAGATACGAGTATTTACTTACGCCTGTTACTCCCAATGGGGCATAGGCCGTCGACTAGTATTCTTCAACCCAGACTGTCCTCGACCTTTCTCTCCACTTCTATCCAATTGCTGTTCATTCATCTCATGCCTGTCTCGGTTTCTCGATGTAATATGCTCTTTGGTCTTCCGCTTGTCCTTTGACCTTGAGGATTCCATGTGAAGGTTGACCATAAGCTACCAATTTTTTCTCGCCATCACATGGTCACGTTTTTCCACTCATTCATTGAATCACCAATGTGAAATAATAATCTTTCATTAATTTTATTTCAGTTAAAGAAATGCAGAAAAACATTAGTGAAATGACAGAACTCCTCGAAGACTACTCGTGTTAGTTATTATGTCCTCATATATATTCACTTTTAAATACTATGATAGTGTAATAAATGAATCCATGAGTGAATTGAAGCTAGACCACCATGGAAAACCTGGAAGCACTCGAAGGTTGTTTCGTCCTAGAACGGAACTCCCAGCAGTGCCTATCCACGATCCAGCCTCGTGAGACTTGAACCCACAAAATATTACTTGAAATAATTATATTGTATATGGAAGAAGTAAATAACACATATAATTTAATAATAAACTATCAAGTCTCACCTTGGTATTGATACATATCGTGTGAGTTTTCAAAATAGATTCAATTGATCTAATCGTTTATATATGTAGTAAGATTAGTTTAATCTGAATTGATGATAACTATTCAACGTATTACATACGAGTATAATTAGTACCCATCAGCTATTATCATCATTTTAGCGGATTTAAAGGCAACTGAAACTGAAGCCAAAAACACATTAGGTACGTTGATAATTAAGCTAAATACTTCATACAATTACATACGTTAAATGAACTATTTTGTGTTTGAATAATAATGTCAAACTCATCATACATAATGTCACCAATTATTCTTTGTTTATTAGATCCAACCGACCGATCTTATTTGGAACATTTTGCAGAAGATCTTAAAGAGAAAATCAATGACTATAAAGGTGAATAGTAATTTTACTAGATGATCCACTATTGTATTTCTGGAAGCATTGAACAGCCATTTTGAATTAGTATTAGAACCTCACGTATGGGATTATGGATCCGCACAACTGACGAGTTCCATACTAGGATGAAACGACCGTTCAGTGTTTTCAGGTTTTAAACGATAGTCTCATAGTATTTATATCAGTTGAAACTAAACAAACTCCATAACCCTAACAAATTCATTTTTGTACACTTTTTCTATATCTCAAAATATCATATTAGAGCGAATGAAGGAGTCTAAGAACAACCTAGATGATGCTCTTAATAAATTACTTTTTGGTAAGTATTATTTACTGAATTGTGAAGTAAATAATTTTATCATTGGCGAGACTATAATTTAAGGACGAACCAATCACGTATAAAATAACCGGTGTCGGATTCTACAAACATGCCATCCAGCTCATGGAACAAAACTCCATCATAACCATCCACCTAAGCTACAAATATCACCTCACTATAGCTGATGACCGTTCCTAATGAAAACACAAAATCTAATTCCTAACCATAATTGTAAACTGTGAATCATAAATCTTATAATTCAAACTGCTTTATAACGCTCATTTGGCCCTAGTAGATAGATGAACACTCTGAAACAGTTGTCTAAAAATCATAGTTTCACAGAGTAATATAACTAGCACCTTAATTAGCTATGTTTCACTGTGATTATAATTTATAGCAAATCCGGAAGTTAAAGCTAAAGAAGACAAGAACCGTGATGCCACCATTAGGTACTTCGATGCTTCATGTAAGTTTTGTACAAATAATACCAATGAAATGTATTTATCATTTGAGGTCGATAGTTTATATAGTGGTCAATTATCTGAATGTTACTTAATTACTTACATAAGCCTGTTACTCCGACTAGGTGTATCGATGTAGAATTGACTTCGGTCTTCCCCTCCTCCTTTGGCCTAGTTTTCTGTACGAAGCAGTTTAATGTTCAACGAGATAATGAAATCAGTATGTGATTCTAAGATGTTTGAGTAAAATAGTTTCATCACATTATAAGCAAAGATGGATATTGGCTAGCAGTGGAATCCAGTTTGACTCACTTTTCATCCTATCCCGTAACCAAAATAGCGTTTTCAAATTCTCCATCAAAAACTCATACTTATAGTAACTTAGGAAATTATTATATGCATCTCTACTCTATTTGTTCTTGAAAGCAATGTGAAATTATTACACAAGAACATCCCTTTGAACATCAGATCACCAAGTTTTTTACATTTTGTCTTATGGGTTATTTAACTTTTAGTTGCGATCTGTTTGATAGTAATATGTCTTCATATTGTAAGATAGATTCGAATCATACGTTCATCAAGTAATCTCCAGGCTAGATCTACAAAGCGAATTAAACAGGTGACGACAGGAGCGAAATATGGAAGAAAACGCTTTACTTCAAAGGCCAGTATATGTACAGGAAATCTAGATCTTTTATAATATTTCAGATGGCCTTGATTTTCCAAAAAATTCTAAAAGATTGCTTAAACATAGTAGCTGTGTAGGTATTCATCCTATCAAAAACTTGGCGTGTGACTTTCCACATTCTAAATGTTTCTGGCAAACCTTCAGTTGAATGTTGATTGGATAAGATGCTTCTCTCTGTTTTCAGAGCGGTTTTTCGCTTTTTCCTGAATCTCTTCAACAAATAGTGTACACTGTTCATTTCAACAAAAGTTAGTTCATTTTTATCTTGATTTACAGATAATCATCTTAAAACATTAACAAATATGGAAGTTCAAAGAATAGATGTCCTTGAATGTAAGTGACTTTTATTGTTTGATAATAACCGACTAACTTAATAAGTACTTTCATTAGAAGAAAGAATACAAGTCTACGAAAGTATAATGCAGGAAGAAAGTAAGTTCTCTCTCTAGGGATTTTGGCACGTAATGTAGAAATGAACTTGTAATTGTATGACAATATTGTCCTATTTACAAACCATTTTCAATAATTCTGACTTTTTTTCTTCAGTAAACTCAGTTTAAAGACCTAAAAATGTGAGTGATTACCTTAGAAAATGTTTTCCGATTTTCACTTGCGTGTTTCATTCTATTTAGAACTCATCAGTGGGATGTATCTGGATCTCATAGTATGGTACTAGGTTCGAGTCCCAGAGTGAACATCAACTCTGAGATACAGGTACATCCGGCTGACATTTGCCAAATAGGACGAAACATGCATCAAACTGGATTCCACTGCTAGCCATTATTCGACTTCACCTATATTATTGGATGCTGTATCGGTTTTGTTATAGTATGCAATATTACCCATGAGTATTTATCATGCATATAAACTACTCAAGGTAGCAAATGGATTGATAAAAAATGCATTAAATTACTTGATTGATTGAATAAATATGGTAGGGAATGCACCAACTTAAATCAGATGACAACATTTCACTTAATAAACTATCAAATCATATCTTACAATTACAAATGATTGTAGAGCGAAAATGTCAAGACTCCTTGACAATTCTTCCTGAAAATGTACGACAATAAATGTTCTGTTGCAATCGTCAATCATTCAACTATCACTAGCTTAGACCCTGGTGTCGGTATGTATTGGTGCAAATCGTCAAACCATATTAGCATATAGAGATGAAAGTAACAAGGAACATTGAAATAGTATATTAGCGATGATAGTCATGAAAATTACACGTTGTTGATATGGTTTGAAATGGTAGAGTAAAAGCGTTTGCATGGAGGATTACTGAAGTCCAATATCTAGAGGAAGACAAAGAGTGGAAGATTCTGGGCCGTGTCAACTCATGACAACTCCAAATAGTGATTGTTATTAACGCATTGGTTCAAATCATATGTTCTGCACCTACTGATGAGATCGGAACAACAGTCTATGACTTCATGGACTAACGCTAACATCCGATTAAGCTGTCTGTTGGACTAGGAGCAGCCAGTCGAAGCAAGTGATGAATCGGCACAGGTAGTACATGTTCCAAACAACCTAATCAATCACAACTTATAACTTCCGTTACCCAGTCTCCTGTGCAGCTTCTTCACTCGGCTTTGTCAACATTTAGTAGGTCAACTAGTGCGTCACTTGTGCGAATATCACTCATGATAAGTGAGGTAATGAAATCGTCACTCATAAGGGAATATTTATAGATAAATTAATTAAGAACGTTGATTGGTGTCCATCTCTAATGAATATCACATGACAATTCTGGTTACACCTGACTACAATCTCCGACCAAGCAAACATTCACCATAACAAGGATTATTCGCAAGATTTGTTTGCTGCTACGGTCAGCATTTTCACAACGAATGATTTCTCAGAGTCAAGAAATAGGACTCTTGTTGTATGCCATTAAGTTTGCTTATATTTAAAAACCTGAAGAGTGTGCATTCAGTTAATACATTCACATTGAAGTCTAAAACCAGTCCAACCTCTCAAGTCTTCCCCATCAACATCAAAATTTTGTCATCATACGGTGTCTCTATCATTTCTTATCGCTCTCTGGACCTCTCAGGATACGGTTTCTGGTATCTATCAACTCAGTAGATCCCACAAAAATCATCTGATCTAAACTGAATTTCTGATTAACTTTCATTGTAGGTGTCCCTGATATATTTATAGTTGTTTAGAGGTGTTTACAAACATCTATATCATTAGCTGCTTCTCAATGAAGCTCAAATTGTTCTCCCTTGAATGAACTACTAAATTACTTTGCCTAAATTATTCGTTGTTGTAGACAAATAATTGTTGATTGTGTTGTTTGAATTTAATTGTTTAAGATGGTTCTGAATAACATAAGAGGTTACGTGTTTACACATGAATTCAAGTGTGATATGCGTTGTCGATATGTTTGTTGTTTTATTTATAGAAAAACCAGAAGAATGAACGAAACTTCAACCAAACAAAATATTGTTCTCAAACTGTTTTATTAAAAATTCTGTTAACTTTTTCATTCATTTAAAAACTGAAAAACAGTATCAATGTTCATTTTAATCCAGTGTCTTTTCGTTAAAATAACGTTGTGCATTGTATTGACAGATTTTGTGACAGTTCAAATTATTAGCAAAGATGAACAATGGCTAGCTGTGAAATCCTGTTTAAAGCGCGTTTCTTACTAATTGGGACATATCAGCTTGATGTACCTGCATCTCAGGATTGGTTTTCACCCTGAGATTCCATCCCAGTATCGTTCGCTCTAATCATCATCGCGTTATCCACTAAGCTGCTGAGTCCTGACAGCTACTTCTTTGTGCAATAGATTTCTATTAATCAGTTTTATTCTGAAGTTATACAATCGCTTATAATTGTGTTGTGTTAAGTGATAATCAATAAATTACTTTCTAATGATAATAAAATTTCGAACAAAACAATTAATTTAGCCGGATCTGTTTTGAGATGGGAACTCACTGAAGACAACGATGAACGGTGGCGCAATTTCGTGAATTGACCAACGTTAGACATTAACACCGTTGTATGCCAACTCAGTGGTTTGTAGGTTAAGCGCTCGCCCGCCACACCGAACGTCGTGAGTTTAAATCTTGCAAGGCGAGATCGTGGATTCGCACTGCTGAGGAGGCCAATGCTAGGACGAGACGGTTGCCCAATACTTAAGGGTTCTCCATGGTTATCTAGATTTAATCGACTCATGAATTCAACTATTAGATAATAATTTAGTATGCACTATACTATGAAAATGTTCGGGGTCTACCATCACACCATTAACTCGAGTACTGATTAGAAAATCAGGATATATTTTCAGCTATCACCGTCTTATTTCAAAATACGATAAAGTTATCTATTACTATCGAAAGAACTTGGTGATCACCATGGATTTTGTATCGCTTTGATGCAGGCATACATGAGTGAAACTCCAGAATGACTGTGCTTATACTCCCTCCATGAAGTGTTTACCTTTAATAATCTTACAGAACAGAGGTATTGACTAGTGACTCAGGAACCCAAAATTCAAGTTGGCCGAATTTCAAAATATACACCGGTGGATACCGGATCAATGGTCTGGAGGATGGGCGTTGACACTTGTGGCCGAAGTCACTGCATCAAATCCTCTTTAGTGGAGTTGTGTGTGCCGAAGCGTCCTTTACTAAGAAGAAACAGCTGAGCAGACCTGACTAGTTTTCAATGGTCATTTGGTCAAGATCGGTGTGTAATTTAGGTTATGAAACTGAGCTTTAGTACATGATAATAATAATATATATATATATATAATGACCCAAGTAAAGAAATGATCTGAGAATAATCATTTTACATATATTAGTTGCAATCCAATTGTATTACGGTACTATTCATTCGGAAATCGATAATCTACTGTCCCATCTTCCAAGGGTGTCTAGTGGATAAATATCTAGTAGTGAAGTGTTTGCATTTACTATATTGTTGAAACTCATCACAAATGAGCATTTTGTAGTTAAATTCATGAGTCATTTGAAGCTAGATCTAGATGGAAACCTAGAACCACTGGATGTTTGTTTAAAGTTTACACGTTCCAAGCGAGACTGGTAGGTCTCGGGTTCGAATCTGGATGCACACTACTGGAGAATCTCAAAATAAGACGAAACGGCCATCCAATGCTTCTGGGATTTTCATAGTGGCCTAGGTAAAATTGACTCATGAATTCAAATGCAACAAAAGTAATATCTCCACAAAACACCTTTCTGATAATAAGCATTTTGCAGAAGTCTAACTTAGTGGTTTATTTGAATGTGGTCAAAAGTTTGTTCTATCTTGACTGAATAAGCCACCTTTGAGTACTTAAACCGTAAGACTCATCTACTAATTGGATATAGATTATATTACAGTTATCGTCCTATAAGGAAATCAATCGATCATTAAAATGTATTAGGATAATCTGATTAGTGATTGGTTTGTTTCCATGCCACCATAAGAAGTTATAAAATGATGATATTTAAAGTGACATTTATAATGTTGAAATGATTTTATTATATTCAAAGCCTTAGAATAAAACCAGAGAGGGCCAGATCTTAATTTTACTGAAGTACAAGTGATGTATAATACTAGTAGCATAAAATAAATCCATAAAATCAATAGCTCTATAAGTTTTTGATGTTTATAGCTGACCTTATAGTTATAATAGGCTCATCTGGCTTAAGGTACTTGATCACGTATCCATATCAGATCAAGAGTGAGTAGGTTGTACTCAACTTCTCGTACAACTGCTAACCAGTTGAGATCAGTCACTTCTCGGTATATTAATAACCTATCAAATATATCTTCTAATCTCCTCGCTTTTGATTTTTGATTTCACTGGTTGGGCACGATATAATTATAGGTGTTACTGGTTAAACTTGTGTCAAACTACAAATACCTGTTGCATTTTCAAACATTTTATCATGCGATGAATATCTTTTAATGTCAGCATATCATTTTCCGAGAGAAAAAACCTACTTCGTTAGTTATTTATGATGACTTTACAAACTGTCACATGAACAAGTTACGGTCCAGAATTAAATCTTGTAAGCACTTATCGCGCAATTCCGATATCGAACACAGCACACCAAATATGATCATTGTCATAGATTTGCGAACTATTCAACTTAACAATTTAATCACTTCTAAACAAAACATTAAAATGCGAATAAGGCAATGGATAACCTCAAAAATTAAATAATTTGCATCTTCTTCAAGTTTAAATAAACACTGAACAGCAATGTTGATTTAGTTGTTTCGATATCATCAAGTTTATCTCGATAAATTCACTATAGGGCAGATGAATATAATAATTTAGTTGGAATAAAGTAGCTGATACTAGTCCATGGAAATGTAAAATATTTTTATTCCACATCGTGAAATTAAAAGTACTCAGAAGTCGAAGGTCAAGAAATATGATGAAATTTTCATGTGATTGGATTGATCACGAATACAGTGATCTTGAGCGTTGTTAGGGGGTTGAAGGTGGTCATCATTTCCGGATTGCTCACACCGTAGAACCGTTCTTCTGACGGTATCCAAAAGAGAAATCGAGTTGAGGGTGGTCTTAGAGACCTAGGAGTGTGACCAAGCTTCACAAGTGACAACTGCTTGAGGTCGATCACACACGACGTTTTGTGAGTAATTTTCGTGTTAGCACCGTACTTGTTGAAACCTTACTGCCGGAGACTGAAATCCGTGCAATAATGCGAGGTGTGCATTTTTGGGGTCGACATTTTTTAACCACACTCCTTCTTGTGTGAAGGTAGCATCGCTGTTATGCTGGTGGTCTGAAAGAAACATTTTACTGCTGTAACATCCCTGTATAATCAGCAGTACGACTTCGCCTTCGGGACTTGAGTTTGCTGCTTTTAGTCATAGCGTTCTTCAACCGACCTTTCTGGCATTGTAGGACCTTGAGGAATGATTGTTCTAGCCAGTATATCTGGACTGGTTTATCACGATAAGCAAACCCCACCACCATGTTAAAATGGCAGCAGTGATCGGAATAAACACTCAGTGAAATTCACTAAGTTAAAAAATTTATAAAAACATCAACCAAAAACTGTTTTCAGATTGTTCGACTCAAATATACTACTCTCATGGTGTGTATGATCGACTGTCAAGTGAAGAGCTGAAATGTATACAACAATATATAGTTTCATCAACTTATCAAAAATAACCTATTTTGAATCACTGATTAAACGACAATAGGTGACTTCTATCTTATTATGAGCTTACTATCACTGTTAAGGTGTTATAAGGTTTTCAACAAGGAAGTTTCGTTGTTTATATCTGTTATAGATTGAATGAATGCATAAAGTTCGAGATCAACTGATTTAACAAGAACTGAAGCTTTAGTGTTCAGTTTTACAGGCAACTGAACTAGCCTAGTTTGATCACATTACTTACACTAATGATACTTCAATAAACTCAGCTAATACAATTTCCTGATTAGCCACATCTTTTAAAACAATAACTGCATGCTAACACTAAATACACAAAACAGTACTCACTACACTTGACGGGGAAGCTTTGGAAGATGTAAAAACATTTACATATCTGTGCAGCATCATTATTAAACACGGTGGATCTAATGCATATGTGAAGGTGTGGATGAAAAAAGCGAGAGCAGCACATCTATAACTGAAGAACATCTGGATCTCAAAACAACTGCCAATCAGCACGAAAGTCTGAATTTTCAATACAACTGTCAAAACAGTTCAGCTGTTTGGACAGAAACTTGGAGAAATACGACAGCCATCATCCAGAAAGTACAAATGTTTATTAACAGTTGCTTACACAAAATACTTCGGATCCGTCGGTCAAACAATAACAGCAACAACCTACTGTGGGGGAGATCAAAGCAGATCCCAACGAAGGAAGAAATCTGGAAGAACTTATGGATGCGGTTCGGACACACACTGAGGCAGGCATTCAAATGCGTCACAAAGCCAACCCTCAATTGGAACCCTCAGAGCCAAGTAAAGAGAGGAAGAACAAAGAACACATTACGCCGAAAAACCGAGACCGACATAAGAATAATGAACAGCAATTGGATAGAAGTGGAAAGGAAGGCTGAGGACAGAGTGGGTTAGAGGCTGCTGGTCGTCGGCCTACACTCCATTGGTAGTAATAGGCGTAAGTATGTAATTAAGTAAAGTAATACATAATTCAAAAGTGCTGTACAACATCACTCTGTGCCACTAATGAATAAATAGTTTAGCTAATCTTTCACTAAAATTATTTACCAAATATTATGGTAAAACGTTCACGATTTTGTAGTTCTGCCACCTTTGTGTATTTATAAAAATGACAACCCTTATTTAGAGATTTATAATTATAAGAGTGTATATTTCTTCAATAGTGGAACACTTCACAACAATTTAACTGTTAACATCATATTTTTGATGTACCACTTCCCTTTAAACAATCTTAACTCATTTGTATTAACCTAATCATCCTCGCCAATTAGTGTACAATGTGTACTCATTTTCAGAGCTACGGTTGTCGGAGCCAGCTTCATCACTTAAACACCTTAAAAAGTCTAACAAAAGGAATATGTTTTAAAAATAAATACAACAGTACAGGTGCCACCATATTACTCTAAACCATTTTAGAGGTAGTACAAATTTCTGTTGTCTGGATTTAAGGGTGCCCAGTATTATTTTTTAAAAACTCTACCTAAGCCCTTTTTTGACTCTGCTGCCGGTCCCAAGCACGGAAAAAGGAGTAAGGTTGGGCATAGGGTTAGCGACCGCATCCCATAGAAAACTAACTCCCCAAAAAACGCTAACCAGAGAAAATAAGTATAGTAAGTAAGTTTATTTCTTTGCTGATATATTTTATAATATAGTCAAATACCTAAACGTTACCTTGGGAAGAGTATTCTTGTTTACAAAATAACCAAATTATTATTGGTTTTCTTATTAAGTTATTCTAAAAAAACAATTTTCTGATTATATCGTTATACCGTTGCTGCTACCTTGACGTGGTGGTCGGTCTTACCTATCATAATAAACCAGTCCAGATATACTGGCTAGAACAATCATTCCTCAGGTCCTACAATGCCAGAAAGGTCGGTTGAAGAACGCTATGACTAAAAGCAGCAAACTCAAGTCCCGAAGGCGAAGTCGTACTGCTGATTATACAGGGATGTTACAGCAGTAAAATGTTTCTTTCAGACCACCAGCATAACAGCGATGCTACCTTCACACAAGAAGGAGTGTGGTTAAAAAATGTCGACCCCAAAAATGCACACCTCGCATTATTGCACGGATTTCAGTCTCCGGCAGTAAGGTTTCAACAAGTACGGTGCTAACACGAAAATTACTCACAAAACGTCGTGTGTGATCGACCTCAAGCAGTTGTCACTTGTGAAGCTTGGTCACACTCCTAGGTCTCTAAGACCACCCTCAACTCGATTTCTCTTTTGGATACCGCCAGAAGAACGGTTCTACGGTGTGGGCAATCCGGAAATGATGACCACCTTCAACCCCCTAACAACGCTCAAGATCACTGTATTCGTGATCAATCCAATCACGTGAAAATTTCATCATATTTCTTGACCTTCGACTTCTGAGTACTTTTAATTTCACGATGTGGAATAAAAATATTTTACATTTCCATGGACTAGTATCAGCTACTTTATTCCAACTAAATTATTATATTCATCTGCCCTATAGTGAATTTATCGAGATAAACTTGATGATATCGAAACAACTAAATCAACATTGCTGTTCAGTGTTTATTTAAACTTGAAGAAGATGCAAATTATTTAATTTTTGAGGTTATCCATTGCCTTATTCGCATTTTAATGTTTTGTTTAGAAGTGATTAAATTGTTAAGTTGAATAGTTCGCAAATCTATGACAATGATCATATTTGGTGTGCTGTGTTCGATATCGGAATTGCGCGATAAGTGCTTACAAGATTTAATTCTGGACCGTAACTTGTTCATGTGACAGTTTGTAAAGTCATCATAAATAACTAACGAAGTAGGTTTTTTCTCTCGGAAAATGATATGCTGACATTAAAAGATATTCATCGCATGATAAAATGTTTGAAAATGCAACAGGTATTTGTAGTTTGACACAAGTTTAACCAGTAACACCTATAATTATATCGTGCCCAACCAGTGAAATCAAAAATCAAAAGCGAGGAGATTAGAAGATATATTTGATAGGTTATTAATATACCGAGAAGTGACTGATCTCAACTGGTTAGCAGTTGTACGAGAAGTTGAGTACAACCTACTCACTCTTGATCTGATATGGATACGTGATCAAGTACCTTAAGCCAGATGAGCCTATTATAACTATAAGGTCAGCTATAAACATCGAAAACTTATAGAGCTATTGATTTTATGTTTTTATTTTATGCCGCGGAGATATGACTGACAAGCTTATTTTGTAAATATTTTTTAATATTATTTGTATTTGTTTGTCAATTTTTCACTGTAAGTACATTTATCAATAAATGACTGTACATGTTGTTTTAGTCAATGACCTTGAAGACACTTTCCGTTGAGCTACTACATAGCGTGACATATTCTTGCTGGTTAACAAATACATTACTACTCACGCATTCGTCGTTCTATTTTCATTTGTGATTGAGTTAACGGAAGTCTAAATCAAATACTATCTACATTTATAGACTGTAATCGGAATATATCACATCCTACGTTGGACTATATCGCTAGAGAGTTCGCCAACCTACTCAGAGTCATCAAGCATTTATAAATGTGGATTTACATTACTGGACCTAATCAGAACACGCAACGTTTGGGCAATTTAAGTAACGTCCTTAATTTTTATTGTATTTGTAACAATTATTGTTTATTTTTAATAACTTTGTTTATACGTTTCGCGTTCATATCTGTTTGGTCCACCACAATGCTACTAGTATTATACATCACTTGTACTTCAGTAAAATTAAGATCTGGCCCTCTCTGGTTTTATTCTAAGGCTTTGAATATAATAAAAAACATTTCAACATTATAAATGTCACTTTAAATAGCATCATTTTATAACTTCTTATGGTGGCATGGAAACAAACCAATCACTAATCAGATTATCCTAATACATTTTAATGATCGATTGATTTCCTTATAGGACGATAACTGTAATATAATCTATATCCAATTAGTAGATGAGTCTTACGGTTTAAGTACTCAAAGGTGGCTTATTCAGTCAAGATAGAACAAACTTTTGACCACATTCAAATAAACCACTAAGTTAGACTTCTGCAAAATGCTTATTATCAGAAAGGTGTTTTGTGGAGATATTACTTTTGTTGTATTTGAATTCATGAGTCAATTTTACCTAGGCCACTATGAAAATCCCAGAAGCATTGGATGGCCGTTTCGTCTTATTTTGAGATTCTCCAGTAGTGTGCATCCAGATTCGAACCCGAGACCTACCAGTCTCGCTTGGAACGTGTAAACTTTAAACAAACATCCAGTGGTTCTAGGTTTCCATCTAGATCTAGCTTCAAATGACTCATGAATTTAACTACAAAATGCTCATTTGTGATGAGTTTCAACAGTATAGTAAATGCAAACACTTCACTACTAGATATTTATCCACTAGACACCCTTGGAAGATGGGACAGTAGATTATCGATTTCCGAATGAATAGTACCGTAATACAATTGGATTGCAACTAATATATGTAAAATGATTATTCTCAGATCATTTCTTTACTTGGGTCATTATATATATATATATTATTATTATCATGTACTAAAGCTCAGTTTCATAACCTAAATTACACACCGATCTTGACCAAATGACCATTGAAAACTAGTCAGGTCTGCTCAGCTGTTTCTTCTTAGTAAAGGACGCTTCGGCACACACAACTCCACTAAAGAGGATTTGATGCAGTGACTTCGGCCACAAGTGTCAACGCCCAACCTCCAGACCATTGATCCGGTATCCACCGGTGTATATTTTGAAATTCGGCCAACTTGAATTTTGGGTTCCTGAGTCACTAGTCAATACCTCTGTTCTGTAAGATTATTAAAGGTAAACACTTCATGGAGGGAGTATAAGCACAGTCATTCTGGAGTTTCACTCATGTATGCCTGCATCAAAGCGATACAAAATCCATGGTGATCACCAAGTTCTTTCGATAGTAATAGATAACTTTATCGTATTTTGAAATAAGACGGTGATAGCTGAAAATATATCCTGATTTTCTAATCAGTACTCGAGTTAATGGTGTGATGGTAGACCCCGAACATTTTCATAGTATAGTGCATACTAAATTATTATCTAATAGTTGAATTCATGAGTCGATTAAATCTAGATAACCATGGAGAACCCTTAAGTATTGGGCAACCGTCTCGTCCTAGCATTGGCCTCCTCAGCAGTGCGAATCCACGATCTCGCCTTGCAAGATTTAAACTCACGACGTTCGGTGTGGCGGGCGAGCGCTTAACCTACAAACCACTGAGTTGGCATACAACGGTGTTAATGTCTAACGTTGGTCAATTCACGAAATTGCGCCACCGTTCATCGTTGTCTTCAGTGAGTTCCCATCTCAAAACAGATCCGGCTAAATTAATTGTTTTGTTCGAAATTTTATTATCATTAGAAAGTAATTTATTGATTATCACTTAACACAACACAATTATAAGCGATTGTATAACTTCAGAATAAAACTGATTAATAGAAATCTATTGCACAAAGAAGTAGCTGTCAGGACTCAGCAGCTTAGTGGATAACGCGATGATGATTAGAGCGAACGATACTGGGATGGAATCTCAGGGTGAAAACCAATCCTGAGATGCAGGTACATCAAGCTGATATGTCCCAATTAGTAAGAAACGCGCTTTAAACAGGATTTCACAGCTAGCCATTGTTCATCTTTGCTAATAATTTGAACTGTCACAAAATCTGTCAATACAATGCACAACGTTATTTTAACGAAAAGACACTGGATTAAAATGAACATTGATACTGTTTTTCAGTTTTTAAATGAATGAAAAAGTTAACAGAATTTTTAATAAAACAGTTTGAGAACAATATTTTGTTTGGTTGAAGTTTCGTTCATTCTTCTGGTTTTTCTATAAATAAAACAACAAACATATCGACAACGCATATCACACTTGAATTCATGTGTAAACACGTAACCTCTTATGTTATTCAGAACCATCTTAAACAATTAAATTCAAACAACACAATCAACAATTATTTGTCTACAACAACGAATAAATTAGGCAAAGTAATTTAATAGTTCATTCAAGGGAGAACAATTTGAGCTTCATTGAGAAGCAGCTAATGATATAGATGTTTGTAAACACCTCTAAACAACTATAAATATATCAGGGACACCTACAATGAAAGTTAATCAGAAATTCAGTTTAGATCAGATGATTTTTGTGGGATCTACTGAGTTGATAGATACCAGAAACCGTATCCTGAGAGGTCCAGAGAGCGATAAGAAATGATAGAGACACCGTATGATGACAAAATTTTGATGTTGATGGGGAAGACTTGAGAGGTTGGACTGGTTTTAGACTTCAATGTGAATGTATTAACTGAATGCACACTCTTCAGGTTTTTAAATATAAGCAAACTTAATGGCATACAACAAGAGTCCTATTTCTTGACTCTGAGAAATCATTCGTTGTGAAAATGCTGACCGTAGCAGCAAACAAATCTTGCGAATACTCCTTTTATGGTGAATGTTTGCTTGGTCGGAGATTGTAGTCAGGTGTAACCAGAATTGTCATGTGATATTCATTAGAGATGGACACCAATCAACGTTCTTAATTAATTTATCTATAAATATTCCCTTATGAGTGACGATTTCATTACCTCACTTATCATGAGTGATATTCGCACAAGTGACGCACTAGTTGACCTACTAAATGTTGACAAAGCCGAGTGAAGAAGCTGCACAGGAGACTGGGTAACGGAAGTTATAAGTTGTGATTGATTAGGTTGTTTGGAACATGTACTACCTGTGCCGATTCATCACTTGCTTCGACTGGCTGCTCCTAGTCCAACAGACAGCTTAATCGGATGTTAGCGTTAGTCCATGAAGTCATAGACTGTTGTTCCGATCTCATCAGTAGGTGCAGAACATATGATTTGAACCAATGCGTTAATAACAATCACTATTTGGAGTTGTCATGAGTTGACACGGCCCAGAATCTTCCACTCTTTGTCTTCCTCTAGATATTGGACTTCAGTAATCCTCCATGCAAACGCTTTTACTCTACCATTTCAAACCATATCAACAACGTGTAATTTTCATGACTATCATCGCTAATATACTATTTCAATGTTCCTTGTTACTTTCATCTCTATATGCTAATATGGTTTGACGATTTGCACCAATACATACCGACACCAGGGTCTAAGCTAGTGATAGTTGAATGATTGACGATTGCAACAGAACATTCATTGTCGTACATTTTCAGGAAGAATTGTCAAGGAGTCTTGACATTTTCGCTCTACAATCATTTGTAATTGTAAGATATGATTTGATAGTTTATTAAGTGAAATGTTGTCATCTGATTTAAGTTGGTGCATTCCCTACCATATTTATTCAATCAATCAAGTAATTTAATGCATTTTTTATCAATCCATTTGCTACCTTGAGTAGTTTATATGCATGATAAATACTCATGGGTAATATTGCATACTATAACAAAACCGATACAGCATCCAATAATATAGGTGAAGTCGAATAATGGCTAGCAGTGGAATCCAGTTTGATGCATGTTTCGTCCTATTTGGCAAATGTCAGCCGGATGTACCTGTATCTCAGAGTTGATGTTCACTCTGGGACTCGAACCTAGTACCATACTATGAGATCCAGATACATCCCACTGATGAGTTCTAAATAGGATGAAAACGCAAGTGAAAATCGGAAAACATTTTCTAAGGTAATCACTCACATTTTTAGGTCTTTAAACTGAGTTTACTGAAGAAAAAAAGTCAGAATTATTGAAAATGGTTTGTAAATAGGACAATATTGTCATACAATTACAAGTTCATTTCTACATTACGTGCCAAAATCCCTAGAGAGAGAACTTACTTTCTTCCTGCATTATACTTTCGTAGACTTGTATTCTTTCTTCTAATGAAAGTACTTATTAAGTTAGTCGGTTATTATCAAACAATAAAAGTCACTTACATTCAAGGACATCTATTCTTTGAACTTCCATATTTGTTAATGTTTTAAGATGATTATCTGTAAATCAAGATAAAAATGAACTAACTTTTGTTGAAATGAACAGTGTACACTATTTGTTGAAGAGATTCAGGAAAAAGCGAAAAACCGCTCTGAAAACAGAGAGAAGCATCTTATCCAATCAACATTCAACTGAAGGTTTGCCAGAAACATTTAGAATGTGGAAAGTCACACGCCAAGTTTTTGATAGGATGAATACCTACACAGCTACTATGTTTAAGCAATCTTTTAGAATTTTTTGGAAAATCAAGGCCATCTGAAATATTATAAAAGATCTAGATTTTCTGTACATAAACTGGCCTTTGAATTTATGCATTTCGGAAAGCAGATAGGATGAAACGCGCGTCAAACTGGATTCCACTGCTAGCTAATATCCATCTTTGCTTATAATCTGATAAAACTTTTACTCAAACATCTTAGAATCGCATACTGATTTCATTATCTCGTTGAACATTAAACTGCTACTATAAGCAAAGATGGTTAGTGGCTAGCAGTGGAATCCAGGACGCGCGTTTCGTCCTGTTTGGGACTCGTCAGCTGGATGTGCCTGCATCTCATATTTGATGTTCACTCTGGGACTCGAACTCAATACCGTTCGCTTCAAACGCCTTCGCGTTATCCACTTGGCTACTGAGTCCTGATAGCCACTTGCTTTTGCAATGGGTTGAAGTTTAATTCACTTGATATTGTTTTACTTGAAGCGAACGGTATTGAGTTTGAGTCGCAGAGTGAACATCAACTCTGAGATGCAGGTACATCCAGCTGACGAGTCCCAAACAGGACGAAACGCGCGTCCTAGATTCCATTGCTAGCCACTATCCATCTTTGCTTATAATGCATGTAAATTAAGGCAATATCGAGGCATACGCACAGTATGCACATATGCCAATAAGAGACTGATCAATTTCAGTCCAAAAACATCAATGGTAACATTCAAGTGAAACAATATCAAGTGAATTAAACTGCTACGTACAGAAAACTAGGCCAAAGGAGGAGGGGAAGACGAAAGAAATTATTACATTGATAAACCACGACAGATATGAAAAGAATGAACAATTTAATAGAAGCATAAGGGAAGGCCTAGGACAGAGTGGGTTTGAGCGTATTGGTCGGCGGCCTATTCTCTAATGTGAGTAACAGATGTATGTTAGTAAGTAAGTAACATTCAGATAATTGACCACTATATAAACTATCGACCTCAAATGATAAATACATTTCATTGGTATTATTTGCACAAAAAATTACCTAAAGCATTGAAGTATTTCATGGCGGCATGTTGGTTATCGTCTTTTACAGCTTTAACTTCCGGATTTTCTATAAAATATAATCACAGTGAAACATAGCTAATTAAGGTGCTAGTTATATTACTCAGTGAAACTATGATTTTTAGACAACTGTTTCAGAGTGTTCATCTATCTACTAGGGCCAAATGAGCGTTATAAAGCAGTTTGAATTATAAGAATTATGATTCACAGTTTACAATTATGGTTAGGAATTAGATTTTGTGTTTTCATTAGGAACGGTCATCAGCTATAGTGAGATGATATTTGTAGCTTAGGTGGATGGTTATAATGGAGTTTTGTTCCATGAGCTGGATGGCATGGTTGTAGAGCATTCATCATGCCACTGAAAGACATCATCAGGACAAACTTTAGGTAGATTTCTATCATCGAAATCAGCTATAATGCCAAAACTTTATTTAGTCAAATGGATGATTAAACTTTGCGCTAAAATCCGACGTGATTGGTTCGTCCATAAGTTCTAGTCTCGCCAATTATAAAATTATTTGCTTCACAATTCAGTAATTAATACTTACCAAAAATTAGGTTATTAGATGCTCGAAACAGTTTCTTCTTAGACTCATTTATTTGCTCTAATGAGATATTTTCAGAAGTGCAAAAAATGTACAAAAATGAATTTGTTAGGGTTATAGAGATTGTAGAGTTTCGATTGATACCATTAAGTGGAATAATGTTAGACAATCGTCTTGAACCTGAAAACACTGAACGGTCGTTTCATCCTAGTATGGAACTCGTCAGTTGTGCGGATCCATAATCCCATACGTGAGATTCTAATACTAATTCAAAAGGCTGTTCAATGCTTCCAGAAATACAATAGTGGATCATCTAGTAAAATTACTATTCACCTTTATAGTCATTGATTTTCTCTTTAAGATCTTCTGCAAAATGTTCCAAATAAGATCGGTCGGTTGGATCTAATAAACAAAGAATAATTGGTGACATTATGTATGATGAGTTTGACATTATTATTCAAACACAAAATAGTTTATTTAACGTATGTAATTGTATGAAGTATTTTAGCTTAATTATCAACGTACCTAATGTGTTTTTGGCTTCAGTTTCAGTTGCCTTTAAATCCGCTAAAATGATGATAATAGCTGATGGGTACTAATTATACTCGTATGTAATACGTTGAATAGTTATCATCAATTCAGATTAAACTAATCTTACTACATATATAAACGATTAGATCAATTGAATCTATTTTGAAAACTCACACGATATGTATCAATACCAAGGTGAGACTTGATAGTTTATTATTACATTATATGTGTTATTTACTTCTTCCATATACAATATAATTATTTCAAGTAATATTTTGTGGGTTCAAGCCTCACGAGGCTGGATCGTGGATAGGCACTGCTGGGGAGTTCCGTTCTAGGACGAAACAACCTTCGAGTGCTTCCAGGTTTTCCATGGTGGTCTAGCTTCAATC